TCTGCCTGTCACATGGATGAAAGATGTTAACCCCTAGAACCTAGTCTGCCTGTCACATGGATGAAAGATGTTAACCCCTAGAACCTAGTCTGCCTGTCACATGGATGAAACATGTTAACCCCTAGAACCTAGTCTGCCTGTCACATGGATGAAAGATGTTAACCCCTAGAACCTAGTCTGCCTGTCACATGGATGAAAGATGTTAACCCCTAGAACCTAGTCTGCCTGTCACATGGATGAAAGATGTTAACCCCTAGAACCTAGTCTGCCTGTCACTTGGATGAAAGATGTTAACCCCTAGAACCTAGTCTGCCTGTCACACGGATGAAAGATGTTAACCCCTAGAACCTAGTCTGCCTGTCACATGGATGAAAGATGTTAACCCCTAGAACTTAGTCTGCCTGTCACATGGATGAAACTGTTCTTTTCTGTTAGCAGAGTCATGAACACCGTTTCGTGTTGTTGTTTATTTTGATACATATGCTCATGTCAGGTTTCTGCGTAAACAAAACAACGAAAACAAAACTTTTGATATAGTGTAAAGGATATTCTAAAAGTCACATTCCGTGATTAAAATTGAACAAGAAGTTTGTAAAATCGCAATAAAAACACAAAAAACGTACTCGTATTCCCGCCTATTACGGAAAGACCCGACAGTTAATGAGCAGAGGGGTTATCACGTGACATGACGTCATATGTGCCTGTTGCTGATGGCTTCCTCTTTGATTTTACCTCACAACTTATCAGTCTCCATGGATTCTGAAGCAGTAAAAGATGTTCCTGATGTCTTTTCTGAAATGGATGTTAGACCTATCAATACGACCCGATTTTACATCTTGCAAGACAATCTTCCAGTGGAGATGAAAAAGAATCAAGCGAAACGGAGGCACCGCTTGAGTTCAAAAGAAATTTATAAATAGACAATATCGTTTAACAAGAATACTATTTGTCAGCAAAATGTGATACAGTTTCAACCAGCAAACCCACCCCTATAAATATATGACCAGTCCCTAAGAATGATATTTTTTGCAATGTGATTGCAGTTCCTTTTGTATCTAAAGGGTGACTGTAGGGTGTCTGGGATTTAAAAACAAAATAATTATGCTTCAGACGGGTGAAAATAGAAATTATCTGTCACAAGAATTACACTGGAGTCATTTCGTTGAAAAAAATTAGCATCCTAGTTCTCATTAACAACGTATCAAGTCTCTGTTAGAGCGGTCCCAAGATAGGCCTAAAAGTGCCAATAATGGCTGCGCCATTCCGACGAACGAGCATCGCTGGGAAGATATATTTACATGTTGATCAAAGCTACCACTGACGATATTTCGGCTATCGATTTAAAATAAATTTATAAAAGCTTTTAAATGTTTTATGTAGCAGATGCTAATCACGTCTTGACTACAGAGCTCATGGTAAACACGTTTCTCCCACAAGCTGACACCGATGTTTTGTTTCAACAGCCGTGCAGAAGGTTCTAGTCCGTCTCGCGGTCCCTGAAACAAGACCTTCTGCAATACAAAAGCTACAGAAGAAGGAAGTCTAGATTTCCTCATCTTTGATCTCACCGGGGAATCGTTTTCAATTTAAAGGAAGCAATGTATTTGTATCAGAATTATATGGAGACCATGCGTTGGTCTTGGGACATTCCATGGTGTCTTCATCAGGTCCTCCTTACTTTGCAAACAATCGACCACGTGTGAAATTCCACATGTCAAATTCGCCATGTCGCTTATCTTACCGATGGACACATTACCTTTTGAACCTTGAGTTCCATGGAGTTATATGGAATTGACAGCAGATGCAAACGGGGCACTAATATCTGGCTTTAACCCGGCTCTCTAGTCTGTCGTACAGACCCTGAAGCAAATATATTCAAGAAAGCCCACGATAGTCTCGAAAATGTGTCAAGTCTAGATTTCCTCAGCTTCTGAAAATGAAGAAAGTCTCAGGGCTCCTTTTCATTATATATATATTTTTTTTACTATGAACTTTTTTCAGTAAAATATGTTCATTTCAGAGACGAGTTGTTAGTCTACCGGCTCTCCAACAGTGCCACCTTGGAATCATTAGCGACACCGTTTGGTTGGTTATTGTTTAACTCCGCACTAAGCAATATTACTGTTTTATTGTATTCTATGAAACTGTAAAAATAATCTTACTTTTAATTATGGTGGGATATAATATATTGTATATCACTTGCAACTGTGACCTGTTTGTTGGGATGAGAGATAGTGTGTCTCAGCCTGTGTGATCATTGCTGTAATGATATTATTTGTATGTACAGTTTGCTAAAGTTGGGTGTTTGACAATAATTTGTGATAGTATGGTATTGAAGGGAAGTGTGATAGGGAGAGGATGATAAGAATGTGACTGACTGACTGAGTATGGTTTTACGCCGCTTTTAGCAATATTCCAGCAACATCACGGCGGGGGGACACCAGAAAGGGGCTTCCACAATGTACCCATGTGGGGATTCGAACCCGGGTCTTCGTCGTGACGAACCAACGCTTTAACCACTAGGCTACCCCACCGCCCCGATAAGAATATGACAGACTGGAGTGTATGAAGCTTGTGTATGGAGCTGGGTGAGTGGTGTAAAGAATAACTTGATGCAAGCTAGATGAGTGAATGTGACTGACTGGATTACATATGGGTATGACTGGGTGTCTGAGTCTAAGTGTCTGGGAGATTGGCTCCAGCGGCTTAGGTGTGTGAGGGACCAGACAACCCAGTGATCTACATCATGAGCATCGATCTACGCAATTTGGACACGATGACGTGTCTCAACCAAAAAAGTGAGCCTGACCACCCGATCCCGTTAGTCACCTCTTACGAAAAGGATGGCTTGCTGAAGACCAATTCTAACCCGGATCTTCACGGGTCCCGACTTCGAGGACAGACAAGCAGACTTTGAGAACACCGTGACCTTTAATGATTTCGATATTAGAAATGGGGCGTGAAGATGAATTTCAGCAACCAAAACAAGCATGTGAGCAGAAAGCCGGAATCTCATCGGGTGCCGATATTTGGAAACACCCCTGATAGTTTGTATTATTGTTTTTAGGGGTTTTTTTTTAGAACAAAAAGGTATTCCGGCAGTGCAAGTATTTTCAGATTTCTGATCCATGTATAGCATGACAATTATTTTTCAGGCACATGAATTGCATACAACATTTACTACACGATCATTGTCATCGATGTTAGGTTTATAAGGACTCAGCGGCGGGGCGGAGGGGTAGCCTAGTGGTTAAGCTTTGGCTCGTCACGCCGAAGACCCGGGTTCGAATCCCCACATGGGTATAATGTGTGAAGCCCATTTCTGGTGTCCCCCGCCGTGATGTTGCTGGAATATTGCTAAAAGCGGCGTTAAACCAAACTCAGTCAGTCAGTATAAGGACGCGTCTGTTTATTTGTCGTCCTTTTCTTGATGCCTAAATAATTAATTCATTACCTACCTACCTACCTACCTACCTGCTACTACCTGTTACCTACACATTATAATGGCACAGTCCAAATATAACACAAGAAAAAAAAGTTATATTACTTACTTTGAAAGGTGACCGAAAAGACATTTTGAATTTTGATTGCTGCAATATAAAAACAGTTGATTTTTATAAACATTCGGTTTAACCTTCTCGTCTAACGAGAGGTGGCATAATCATATTGAAAATATTGCCAAAACCTACATCTAAAATGATTAGAGCATTTCAGAATTGAAAGTTCCTAATAAATAGAACAACATCAGATTTTCTCCCACCTGCAATCAGCAACCGGACAAGCTATGAGTTAAGAAACTCCAATAATTTTAGCCAACCATGTACAAGACTGAGGTACGCAACTGAAAGAAAAATGTGCACCTAAATATTTTTCACATTTATAATTCTATATTTCTGAAACAAAACATTTTCTCAACTTCTGTTGTACATATCCTATTATTGGGAGAAGGCTTTTATAGCTGAATAACTTGTGCCCAATCCTTTTCTTGAATGAATAAAATATGTTTCAATCAATAAACACAATCAAACCTCTCAGTGAGGTTTTTTTATGTTCCATAGTAACTGATAGTAAAAACAATTTTGAGACGGATTATCATTTAATGACAACATAAGTTCTATTTACACACAATCAAACTGCTCAGTAACGAACCTGTTTCTGACTCAACCTACTCTACTCATTAGACAGAGGAATGTTCCATTATACCCGTAGGTGTTACCCTAATTAACTTTCTAGTTCAGTGTCTGTCAATCGACTGTCTGTCAAATGGGTGTGTGTCAGTTGGGCGATAACCGTCGTTAGCAATAACAGGACAGGCATACTAACATTTAGACTAGTCTCTGAAATGAACATATTTTACTGAAAAAAAGTTCATAGTAAAAAATAATAAAATATAATGAAAAAGGGGTGTGAGACTTTCTTCATTGAAGCTGAGGAAATCTAGACTTGCCACATTTTCTAGACTTGCGTGGGCTTTCTTGGATATATTTACTTCAGGGTCTGTCCCACTACACGTGTCCTACTCCACGTTGACATCCCGTGCGCCATGGTCATTAGGCCAGATCGCTGACTTCTGTCAAACCTTAATTATCCTCGTGTTGTGACTTGATTGAAACAACATCGAATCTTGGCCGGTCATTACTTGCAGAATCATATATCCTTGCAAACACAATGATTCTTATACACTTCAGATGGATACAGCAGCTTCAATTATCAACATGAGCAGTACCTTTGTACATTACACCGTGCTGGGTCAGCATATTTCATGTGGCACACATGGTGAATACAACAAACTGCTGTACAGCTGAACGCTAGCTTATTTAAAACTGTGGACATTTTATTAGCAACTTGAACGGTTTCTACTAAGAGTGAGTTTAGTTTTACGCCGCACTCAGCAGTATTCCAGCTATATGGCGGCTCTCTGATAATAATCGAGTCTCGACCAGACATTCCAGTGATCAACATCATGAGCATCGATCTACGCAACTGGGGTTTCTACTACGACTGACACCAAGTATGTAGGATCAGCCGTTTTTTAACGATGGAACAACTAACAAACATTCTCTCCAAGATTTGGAAACAAAGGCCCAATTCGAATTTCGTGTCAGTCATATGAACAGTAGACATATTCAAAACAATTTATGTCGTTGGGTAGAAAATTAAAGGATATGGCATGGACATTGCACAAGGTTCATTCGCAAAACAAACACACACACACACACACACACACACACACACACACATATATATATATATATATATATATATATATATATATATATTAGTCTGCTGCAATAGGGGCGTGTGTTCCACGACAAGATGCTCATTACCAACATTTGACTGGACATTGTAATTAGCGTCATGTGGAAGATAGTATCGTAGTGGTATTGTTTATGAACAGCTACATATTCATATGCATAATATTTAGCGGTTAGTAGACACATCGTTATCAGCGTTAGGACCTACAGACAAACATACAGCTGAATCCCTATACCTGCTGAATCCCTATACCAGCTGAATTACTATACCAGCTGAATCCCTATACCAGCTGAATTACTACACCAGCTGAATCCCTATACCAGCTGAATCCCTATACCAGCTGAATTACTATACCAGCTGAATCCCTATACCAGCTGAATACCAGCTGAATTACTATACCAGCTGAATTACTATACCAGCTGAATTACTATACCAGCTGAATTACTATACCAGCTGAATCCCTATACCAGCTGAATTACTATACCAGCTGAATTACTATACCAGCTGAATTACTACACCAGCTGAATCCCTATACCAGCTGAATCCCTATACCAGCTGATTTACTATACCAGCTGAATCCCTATACCAGCTGAATCCCTATACCAGCTGAATCCCTATACCAGCTGATTTACTATACCAGCTGAATCCCTATACCAGCTGAATCCCTATACCAGCTGAATTCCTATACCAGCGCGAGGAAAGTCCTTAGAAAAAGATACCAGCTGAACCCGTATACCAGCGTGAAAACGTCATGTGCACATATTTACAGAAACATCTTTACGTGTTTCGATCCTTAAAATAAAATCAAACTGTTTAAACATTCCAGAAGAATCAAAACGTTAATGATGCTGACACTGCGTATGAATGAGCATTACTTAGCATTGTTAATGTGATCCATATCGACATATCTGGAGTAGCTTAATCCAGACAGTTATTGTCCGAAAAGAGGGGGTTCTGAGCAAGTGAGGTCTCCGAGTGTAAGCAAGAGGGGGTTCTGGGCAAGTGGGGTCTCCTTGTGTAAGCAAAAGGGGTTTCTGGGCAAATGGGGTCTCCGAGTGTAAGCATTTAGATACCTGGACGGATTGCAATATATTCCACAGTTGTTTTCTGTTTGTCTTTATCGACAAATCTGGAGTATGGCTTAATAAAAGACACTGATTGCCCGAAAAGAGGGGTTTCTGAGCAAGCGGGGTTCCCGAGTGCAAGCAAGACGGGTTTCTGGGCACGTGGGGTATCCGAGTGTAAGCAAGAGTGTTTTCTGGGCAAGTGGGGTCTCCTTGTGTAAGCAAGAGGAGTTTCTGAGCACGTGGGGTCTCCGAGTATAAGCAAGACGGGTTTCTGGGCAAGTGGTGTCTGCGAGTGTAAGCAAGAGGGGTTCTGGGCAAGTGGGAACCCGAGTGGAAGCATGAGGGGTTTCTGGGCAAGTGGTGTCTCCTTGTGTAAGCAAGACGGGTTTCTGAACAAGTGGGGTCTCCGAGTGTAAGCGAGAGGGGTTTCTGGGCAAGTGGGGACTTCGAGAGTAAGCAAGAGGGTTTTGGGGGCAAGTGGGGTCTCCGAGTGTAAGGAAGAGGGTTTTGGGGGCAAGTGGGGTCTCCGAGTGTAAGCAAGAGGGGTTTTGGGGCACGTGGGGTCTCCGAGTGTATGCAAGAGGGGTTTCTGGTCAAGTGGGGTATCCGAGTGTAAGCAAGAAGGGTTTCAGGGCAAGTGGGGTCTCCGAGTGTAAGCAAGAGGGGTTTTGGGGCACGTGGGGTCTCCGAGTGTATGCAAGAGGGTTTTCTGGTCAAGTGGGAACCCGAGTGTAAGCAAGAGGGGTTTCTGGGCAAGTGGGGACTCCTTGTGTAAGCAAGACGGGTTTCTAAACAAGTGGGGTATCCGATTGTAAGCAAGAGGGGTTTCTGGGCAAGTGGGGTCACCTTGTGTAAGCAAGAGGAGTTTCTGAGCACGTGGGGTCTCCGAGTATAAGCAAGACGGGTTTCTGGGCAAGTGGTGTCTGCGAGTGAAAGCAAGGTGGGCCTCTGGGCAAGCTGGGTCTCCGAGTGTAAGCAAGAGGGGTTTCTGTGCAAGTGGGAACCCGAGTGTAAGCATGAGGGGTTTCTGGGCAAGTGGTGTCTCCTTGTGTAAGCAAGACGGGTTTCTGAACAAGTGGGGTCTCCGAGTGTAAGCATTTAGATACCTGGACGGATTGCAATATATTCCACAGTTGTTTTCTGTTTGTCTTATCGACAAATCTGGGTATGGCTTAATAAAGACAGTGATTGCCCCGAAAGAGGGGTTTCTGAGCAAGCGGGGTTCCCGAGTGCAAGCAAGACGGGTTTCTGGGCACGTGGGGTATCCGAGTGTAAGCAAGAGGGGCTTCAGGGCAAGTGGGGTCTCCTTGTATAAGCAAGACGGGTTTCTGGGCAAGTGGTGTCTGCGAGTGTAAGCAAGAGGGGTTCTGGGCAAGTGGGAACCCGAGTGTAAGCATGAGGGGTTTCTGGGCAAGTGGTGTCTCCTTGTGTAAGCAAGACGGGTTTCTGAACAAGTGGGGACTCCGAGAGTAAGCAAGAGGGTTTTGGGGGCAAGTGGGGTCTCCGAGTGTAAGCAGGAGGGTTTTTTGGGCAAGTGGGGTCTCCGAGTGTAAGCAAGAGGGTTTTGGGGGCAAGTGGGGTCTCCGAGTGTAAGCAAGAGGGGTTTCTGGTCAAGTGGGGTATCCGAGTGTAAGCAAGAAGGGTTTTGGGGGCAAGTGGGAACCCGAGTGTATGCAAGAGGGGTTTCTGGGCAAGTGGTGTCTCCTTGTGTAAGCAAGACGGGATCTAAACAAGTGGTGTCTCCGAGTGTAAGCAAGAGTGTTTTCTGGGCAAGTGGGGTCTCCTTGTGTAAGCAAGACGGGTTTCTGAACAAATGGGGTCTCCGAGTGTTAGCAAGAGAGGGTTTCTGGGCAAGTGGGGACTCCGAGTAAGCAAGAGGGTTTTGGGGGGGCAAGTGGTGTCTCCGAGTGTAAGCAAGAGGGTTTTGGGCAAGTGGGGTCTCCGAGTGTAAGCAAGAGGGTTTTGTGGGCAAGTGGGGTCTCCGAGTGTAAGCAAGAGGGGTTTTGGGGCAAGTGGGGTCTCCGAGTGTATGCAAGAGGGTTTTCTGGTCAAGTGGGGTCTCCGAAGTGTAAGCAAGAGGGTTTCTGGGCATGTGGGGACTCCGAGAGTAAGCAAGAGGGTTTTGGGGGCAAGTGGTGTCTCCGAGTGTAAGCAAGAGGGTTTTGGGCAAGTGGGGTCTCCGAGTGTAAGCAAAGAGGTTTTTGGGCAAGTGGGGGGTCTCCGAGTGTAAGCAAGAGGGGTTTTGGGGCAAGTGGGGTCTCCGAGTGTATGCAAGAGGGTTTTCTGGTCAAGTGGGGTCTCCGAGTGTAAGCAAGACGGGTTTCCGGGCAAGTGGCAACCCGAGTGTATGCAAGAGAGGTTTTCTGGTCAAGTGGGAACCCGGAGTGTGTAAGCATGAGGGTTTCTGGGCAAGTGGTGTCTCCTTGTGTAAGCAAGACGGGTTTCTAAACAAGTGGGGTCTCCTTGTGTAAGCAAGACGAGTTTCTAAACAAGTGGGGTCTCCGAGTGTAAGGATGAGGGGTTTCTGGGCAAGTGGTGTCTCCTTGTGTAAGCAAGACGGGTTTCTGAACAAGTGGGGTCTCCGAGTGTAAGCGAGAGGGGTTTCTGGGCAAGTGGGGACTTCGAGAGTAAGCAAGAGGGTTTTGGGGGCAAGTGGGGTCTCCGAGTGTAAGCAAGAGGGGTTTTGGGGCACGTGGGGTCTCCGAGTGTATGCAAGAGGGTTTTCTGGTCAAGTGGGAACCCGAGTGTAAGCAGAGAGGGGTTTCTGGGCAAGTGGGGACTCCTTGTGTAAGCAAGACGGGTTTCTAAACAAGTGGGGTATCCGATTGTAAGCAAGAGGGGTTTCTGGGCAAGTGGGGTCACCTTGTGTAAGCAAGAGGAGTTTCTGAGCACGTGGGGTCTCCGTGTATAAGCAAGACGGGTTTCTGGGCAAGTGGTGTCTGCGAGTGAAAGCAAGGTGGGCCTCTGGGCAAGCTGGGTCTCCGAGTGTAAGCAAGAGGGGTTTCTGTGCAAGTGGGAACCCGAGTGTAAGCATGAGGGGTTTCTGGGCAAGTGGTGTCTCCTTGTGTAAGCAAGACGGGTTTCTGAACAAGTGGGGTCTCCGAGTGTAAGCATTTAGATACCTGGACGGATTGCAATATATTCCACAGTTGTTTTCTGTTTGTCTTATCGACAAATCTGGAGTATGGCTTAATAAAAGACAGTGATTGCCCGAAAAGAGGGGTTTCTGAGCAAGCGAGGTTCCCGAGTGCAAGCAAGACGGGTTTCTGGGCACGTGGGGTATCCGAGTGTAAGCAAGAGGGGCTTCAGGGCAAGTGGGGTCTCCTTGTATAAGCAAGACGGGTTTCTGGGCAAGTGGTGTCTGCGAGTGTAAGCAAGAGGGGTTCTGGGCAAGTGGGAACCCGAGTGTAAGCATGAGGGGTTTCTGGGCAAGTGGTGTCTCCTTGTGTAAGCAAGACGGGTTTCTGAACAAGTGGGGACTCCGAGAGTAAGCAAGAGGGTTTTGGGGGCAAGTGGGGTCTCCGAGTGTAGCAGCAGGAGGGTTTTTTGGGCAAGTGGGGTCTCCGAGTGTAAGCAAGAGGGTTTTGGGGGCAAGTGGGGTCTCCGAGTGTAAGCAAGAGGGGTTTCTGGTCAAGTGGGGTATCTGAGTGTAAGCAAGAAGGGTTTCAGGGCAAGTGGGAACCCGAGTGTAT